AGTCTTTGATTTAAATTGCAGATGAGTTTTTAAAATCTTCTGTGTGTAATTGAGTCTAAAATTTTCTGGGTTTTTTACATGACCACCAAACACGATAAAATATCTCGTTTATATTTCCAACCTACGTTTGAACAACCTTTATACAAATTAGCCAATTTTTCTGGTGACCTGTACCAACAAAGTATAAAATTATACATCATCTTTATAAAAAAAATCTTTTTAGACTATACAAATAATAAATCCTCTCTCACTGATGGATCTCCCACTGGTCCATATATATAACATTCAGAGCAAGATATGAACCAGAACTTCTGAACAGACTTGTGCTTGTGTTTTAGCTGATTCGCATGCTATACTTCAGCTTTGATCTGATGTATCTTTTTTTTTTCAACATTGAAAATATATAGAGAATAGGGCAGATGACCTTGACAGAGATTGGGTATTTGGGAGACTGAAATTTCTATGCACAAACTAGGTATCTCTGTCAGTTTTTTGTCATTTTATCAGTGTTGCATTTTTCCCTTTTCCTTCCAAAGTTAGTCGGGCATAAAATCTGAGAGGTTTTGTTGGACTATTGGCTGCATCTAAGGACTAATCTAGATATCTGCAGGAATTGCTAGCTTCATCTAAGAAACAAGTTGTTGTGATGCAAAATTGTGTCACCACATTCATTTCTCCTACCAGCCATTTTTGGAAGACTTTTGGGAATCTCTAGATACTAGAATTCTGTGCAAGTGAAATAAATAATTAAATTAGAATATGGCGTTGCTTCCCTGCAATAAAATTACCAATAACCAATGTTTACTCACCACTAACTCAACTTTTTTTAAGCACTTGAAAAGGCAAATGAAACATTTCAGTTTAAAAGCCTGTAAGGAAGCGATCTTTTCAAATAATGATGAAAAATTTAGGAGTTTCACAAAATGAGATCATAGTGATTCTAGGAACATTATTCTTTTGTTATTAAGGAGATTTAAAAAAATATTTTAATATTTAATATTTTAATGATAATTTTTCAATATACTAAAATTGTTATACCATTTTTGTTATGTTTTGCCCTCACAATAGTTTGTATCTGAATGCTGGAATTCATGTATTCCTGCATGCTCATTCAGCCTGAGTAATGTTTAAAGTCATGGGCAAATTTATGCAAAATTCCAGACAATTAGTTGAACTTATTAATGGGAATAAAACTTGCTGTTAACCAGTCTGTAGATACAGTAATTGCATCTTGCACCATGAGATGACACATGATAACAAAATCTTTAATATGAGACAATATCCTAGTAAATTTGTAGATTACGGTCAACACTGATAGTTGCACTTTCAGAAGCTGGTGGGAGCAATAATGGCTTTAGAGATTCACTGGCCTATTTTATTCTCTGTCTTTGAAACAGGCAGAAGTGAAGATGATTGTAGGATGGAAGACTCAGAGAAGTGATGGGGTGTGCTCCCGCATATAAAAAAGATTCAGGGCCAAAGTGCTGGAGACTGATACAGTAAAATGTATGCTTAGAGGAAGCTATGGGAAATGTATTATTTAAAGCAGTGATGGCAAACCTACGATATACCGTTTTGGGAGACATTCATTCACCAACACCTGACTACTATTCTTGAAAGCATGTCCCATTCTTGTATGATTTGTGGAAGCCGTGGACGCCTCATGAGAACAGGGTATGCTTTTGTGAGGCCTACAAACATTTAGTGAGAATGGGGTGTGCTTGTCAACCATCCCATGCAGTTCATTCACCAAATAAAGACTCCTGGACCAGTTTCATTTTCCAAGAGTACAATTTATTGAGCTGTCATGGATACAGAAGTAGCAAAGCTAAGTTCTAGCAGGTTCCCGTGCAAACAGCATAATTAAACATCCTCTTCCCCCCCCCCCCCCCGCTGTCCCACAGTCACTTTATTTCCTCCAATCTACTATGTTCATTTTGTTTGGATAACAGACTTGACTTTGAGGTGTTGGCATAGCTGGAAGCTTCCAGTTGGCTCTCTTGCATTCCTTTGGTCCCATCCCAACACCTCCCTTACATTCCAATCATTCACTCCCTCTGTTGCTTCCTGTCTGGCTGTGAGCGAGATTTGCACTGCGAACCATGCTTCAGCCATGACAGTATTTTTGCATTGTTTTCAGAGGTGGCAGAAGCCACGGAAGTTTATTCTCTGAACAAAGGCCTCAGGTCGGCTGCATGGGCCTGTCAAAAGAAAGAGAGCAGCATCTGAAGGTAAATGGCATATGGCAGGCCCAGGTAAGTCCTGGGCCACTGGAGCAAGCACACTGTTCTCTAAGGCTTGAAATACTTTGGGGAATGATGTGAGGCGACCATTTTCACTGGCAGCAGTGGTGCTAGGTGTTGTGTTCTTTTGTATTCCCCCCCTAATCCCCTATGCGCATCCTGATCACCCATTAAGGGTGATTGCCCTTCCCCATCTGCATACAGTTTCATGCCCGTTGCTGGTTGGCTAACTAGCAACGGGGTCTTACCAGCCAATGGGATTGTGTGATTACGAGCCAGGGGAATCCCATAAAAGAGGGCTCCCCTGGCCCAGATGCCAGTCCGGATTTACTTTATGCCTTGCCAATAAACCGAGAGCTGACTGTCACTCGACTCGTGTCTTACTGCCTGCGTGATCCAACACTGGCGACGAAGGTGGGATCCCAGTAAGACTGCACGACAAGGGCAACCTCGTGGCAAGCAACCTACTTCGAAGCAAGAACTCCTCCACGCAGCCTTCCGAAGCAAGAAACTATCCGCGACTCCAAGATGACTTCCACCTCGAAATTCTCGTCTTCCCTACCGGCATTCAACCCAGAAACAAATGACTGGGCCGCATACGTGGGAAGATTCGAGCTACACCTGGCCGGGAATGGGCAACAAGGCATTCCCGAGGAGCAGAAGAAGGCCTTATTCCTTGCGAACTGCGGAGACGAGGTCTACCACGTGGCCCGCTCCTTGGTCGCTCCAGCCAGCATCGAGGACACTCCTTGGGCGGATATCCAACGTCTGCTGGCTGGTCAGTACGGGATCTCCGAAGGGTTCCTAGTCGCAAGGAACTGCTTCTACAACCGACGACAACGGGCGGGCGAACCCATCAGAAAGTACCTCGGAGAGCTCCGATCGA